AGTTGACCGCGGTATTCAATCGCTGCATTGAGATCGAAGATATGTCGCGAACATGGAAAATCAAGGATTACCGCATAGATGCCAGGTAAAATATACCATTATATGATGAATTCATTTTTTTTCAAAAATCGTTAATAACTGCAGTTTGAGGATACCGCGGTTTCGGCGGTGTGGAAAAACCTAATAAATGGTCTGACTTTCGCGGTTCTTAATAACCGCTGAGAGTCCCAACTGGTAAACCGCCAATAACCGCGGTTTTGGTTGGAAAATTTTTCCGTGGGTCGTATACCAATATATAGCGATCTACTGTTGTCACTTGAAGACGTTGAAATATTAACGATATAAAATTTAATTTGATGTTGCTGAAGAATTTGTTTAATGTTACGAATAGTAAATCTTCGATCAATATTGCGACGAATAATTTCATTCCGATAGTATCGTTTTCTTTGTTTAAGTGTACATGAACGATTGTGAATTTTATGTCGTTGCTCTTCGGTTAATCGTTCACGTCGTTGTTCATTTAATGATTCATGTTATTGTTCATTATCATCATCCGATGATATATCTTCTAAATCATTTATGTTGTTATTTGTGTTTTGAATTAATACTGTTGTAACTGACGTTGCTTGATTAGGTTGTTGTGGTGATGTATGTTGATTTTTTGGAGTTAAATCATTCGATATTATTATTTCAAGTTCATGTACAAGATCAACATTTAATTCTGGTTGTTGTGATGATTCACGTGTTTGCTGTTCATTATTAAGTACGTTCGTATGAACTAATATTTGATGAATTGCTAGACAATCATTGGTAGCATATATGTTGCCATTATGTTTCGATGTTCAATTTCATTTGAATTTCGATGGAATAATGTCGGATCAAGGTCAATATCGAAAGACGAACAAGTGTATCGCTTATCTAACCATTGATTGAGTAAATATCCTACTACATCTTGCAATGACCAAGGAATATTTAATTGAATACCAAGACATGTTTCACAAGTACATGATGTATCATTGGTAGTTGACGATAATATTAACTGATGAGGATGATAATCTTGCCAATAATTTTTAAAATAATCTTGAGAATTAATATTATTCGATCGATAAATTTGATTGGATGAGAATAAATGAAATTCCATAAATTTTTCTAACACATCGATTGATCCCCATACGTATATATCAATGTTTGGATCGAATAAATAACCGAATAATTCTCGAATTAATTGAAATTTTTCTGTATTTTCATGTGGTAAATGGCAAACTTTTATCATTATAACGTATGAAAATAAATTTTCTTGTATGACTTGCAATTGAATAAGTGCAGGTTTATTTGGTTGGTAGGGAATACACACTGATTCTATATCTAAAGTAAACGATGTTGAATTTTTTACAGCTTCAATAAGATGTTGTAATGTTTGTTCACTGGTGTTATAATTAATAAAATATTGTTGATAATGATAGTGTTGAAATGGCGGAAAACGAGATGCAAATTCATGTTCATGAAGTTTCTTTTTAAATTTATTGCGAAGGTTTTGTCGTGGTCTACCTGTAATTGTTGCTGGTATATTTTATAGTTGCCCTGTGATTTTATTATATTCCGCTGGAGATAACATAACTATCCAGGTCGAAGCAACCGGCCCGGGAAACGGCCGGTTCCCGCACATTCCCGCGATTGCACGGAAGCAGTATTCCGGATCGGGAAATCTACGGATTTTTCCTGTAAATTCCGCTGAGTTCCTGTTGGTTCCCGCAGGAAATCACCGGGAAAATCCGGAAAAATCCGTCCCGGAATCTTGCTTTCAGGGCCCGATGATATCCGGCGTTTTCCTGCACGTTCCGGTGCGTTTCCAGTATGTTTCTGGCCGGTTCCAATGAAATCCGCTCATTTCCGGAGGCCGGAAACATCGTCCTGGGTACAATCGAGAAAAAAATTATAATTTTTTTTCCATTTAACGATTCACTAAGGAGTGAATCCGAAATTAATGTTAAACGATTCTATTAGGATATGAATCTATGGCTAATTATTTCAGTGAGGTAGTGCGAAGAAAAAGTTGTATTTGATTTATATTGTGCATATATATCTATATGTATAATTATTCATTGTAGGATACATCAATATAAGTGATACGAGATTTCATCTTCTATTTCGATTCTCATTGCTGCAGTAAGAATCTGACAGAATTAATTAATTAATATATTTAATCAATAAATAAAATTTTGTATAATAGAGTAATAATAATAATTAGATATTTTCCAAATTAAATACAATAGCCCTTCATAATCAGTGAGTGAGGAAAATTCATGCTCCCTGATCATGCTATGCTAAATCATATCATGTAAGGTAAATCTAACAATAATTAATTATTCCATTAGTTTGAAATATTTTGTTAAACGGATCTCTATGTAAGAGGTCCTGTTATGAATAATTGCGTTCGAATATTGGACGTAACACGTCGGTCGTAACTTGACGATATAATGTTGATTTTTTGACGTGTTGAATGATAAATGTTTTCGGTATGAGTTGTGTAATAATTTTAAACGGTCCTTCGTAACGAATGTCGAATTTATGACGAATTTTGAGTGTTTTGCAAAGAACTAAATCGCCGATTTTGTACGTGGGATTTGAAAGATTTACATCATAACGTTGCTTGTATCGTTCTTGATTTTTTATAATATTTATTTTTGCTTGTTCATTTAGTTTCAATAAAAATTGATTTAATTTCTTCGAATGTTCGGGATCATATGATAATGTAACATGTGTATCTTGATGATCAAATGGTAAAACAGGCGATCGACCATACATCATTTCGAGCGGTATTTGTTTTGTTGACGAATGAATTGATGTATTGTAATTAAATGTTACAAATGGTAATTGATCATCCCAATCGGTTTTGCGTAAATTTGATAAAGCTGCGATCTTTGCATCCATTGTTGAATTGTATCGTTCAACTTGGCCATTTGTTTGCGGATGATAAGGTGTTGAATAAAGATGTGTTGTTCCAATTTGCTTAATTAATTCGTCCATCATTGTTGATGTGAAATGCGTTCCGTTATCGGTAAGAATACATCGAGGTGTTCCAAATTTTGAAATAACACCTTCTTTAAGAAATCTAACAGCTGTATGAGTCGTATTATCACGTACGGCTTTTGTAATAACGAATTTTGATAATACATCGGTAAGAGATATAATATATTTATTTCCACGTTGAGTTGTTGG